AGATGTCATGAAAGACCGTGTGCCTTTTGCAGATACAGTTACATTTCTGCATTTTATAAACCATTTTAAATCACTTTTCTTTTCATGGGAAGATTTACGTCATCTTTCTAAACAGATTATTCTATAATGCAGATCGTAGCGCGATCTCACCAGCTCGCACGTCACAGTCTTGCTGGCTGTCTTCTCTGTTGCAGGGAACTCACTTATTACAAAATGAGTGTGGTTAAAAAGAGGATTCAGTGTTTTTAAACTGTTTCGTGGTTACTGCAAAGTGTAAGAGTTTATAGATATGCTATACCGTTTGCTTTGTAAGGCAGGACAGAGCTTTCCCATCCTGTAATAACACTGCTATAGAGCCACTGATATCCTGCTTTTTTGTGTTTGCACTACCATCTTGTATCTTTTCTCTCCTTCGTTTTGTCTTCTCTACTATTTTCCACTTTGTATTTTCTCCCTTTCAGCTCGCTCACGCCTCTCTTGTCTCTTGATACTGACACATCTTTTACCCTGTTGTCTTCAATAGTCCACTTGTGTCTTTGCTATGGAGCAATTCATTCAGTTGTCCCTGGCTACACCCGGCTGTTTTTTTGCTTGCAATTTTCACGTATCGCCTTTTATTTATTTATTTTTAAAATTTAATAACTCATCTATGCCCTTGGGGAAAGCACATTTTGAGTTTATGCGTGTGTGTTTGTGTGCGGCGCAGACACAGAGGATGCATACTAAATATCCTGAATGCAAAGATAAGTACGTGCAGTACACAAACATAGGCCAGAAACACATACACGACAAAATCCTTTTGACATCAATAATTGGTAAATCCTCTGATTAACTTGTAAGAATTGTCCTTAGAGTGCTTAAGTAATTGTGTTTGTGTGTGTCCTTTTTTATTGCATGCACCCCCTCTCTGTAAAGCACATCTTTATAACCAAGCAATTCCAAAGCAATTTTCTCTGTGGGAGGAGAGTGTAATTTTCTATTCTGTGACACTGTGATGTGTAAGAAACTGGGAGCTGGCGCTAAAAGGTGTCTGTAGTGTGTGTCTTGGTGTGGGTGTGAGCCACTTTAATGGCCAACGCGGGGCGGGTGGCGGTGGTGGTGAGCGGGTGCATGTCAGGAAGGCCATCATTTAATGACTCCCAAATAGTGCCCTCCTCGTTAGAGCTATCGTCCTGGAAACGTGGGGCTGTGAACCACGAGAGCGCCACACGCTGCAACAGTCTTTTATCTTCATATTAAACCATTTGCATAACATTACCACGATAGATAAGATTCAGGAGATACTCAACCTACTCAGGGAGCGACAGAGAGAGAGTAGACACAGGAGACACAGAGAGGGTATACTACATGTCCTTGCAAATCTAATCAGCGTTAAATGGAGCTGTCAAATGTGTGTGTGTGTTGTGTGAGTGTGCATTTGCTACTGGAAGGCTCATGTCAGGAGTCATTTAACATTAAAGCGCAACAGTATATAACAGGGCTGTAATTACAAAATGCAAGAATCCAGATGTGACATCTAAATACAGCAGTCATTTATCGGTGATACACAAAATAACACCAAATGGCGTGTGTACTTATATGTCCTTCACAAAGTTGAGTTTTAATGTTTTCTTTTTCTTAACGTGTCGCACAAATTGTATTTGTGGCAGCAGCTCTACAGAATACAAAGAAGTAGCTAATTAGAACAAATTACATTACTAGCATTTTCAAAATTGCAGACATTATTTGCATTGACGGCAGCATTTTGTGCAGCATCAGCAGACTAACAAAAGGCTGAAATTCGTGTTTTTTATAGGCACACCGAGCTATGCTGTTTAAAGTGGTTTGCTCTGTTCTGAGGACTGTCGGATCTGCAGCTGCTCTTCCCTGCTCAAAGAAGAAAAGACTTATTCCAACAGAAAGAGCAGGAAAATGTGCAAGCACACGCTAATTAGTTGTTGCTACTTGCCACTACCCGATTAGCACAGTCAAGAGTCCTGTTGATCTGTACAGTATATTGCGATTAGTATGGATATAGTGTATGCCACTCTGCCACGTCTAAGCCACTCACAGGTGGAGTGAATAGCATCGACCATCTCATTACAAGTCTCTGTTCTTCGCAATCATGTGGATTAGTAACACTCCCCGATGGCACCAGCCTCCAGCTGGACAATGTGCCTCGCCCCCACCAGTGGCTCTGGTTATTAAAATCCTGTATTGAGCCTGAAGCTGAGCATTTCTTTGTCGCTATCTTGGCATTTTGAAACTATATGTGATAAGTGACGGATACTTCAGTTTACAGAAGGTAAGGCTAAGCCCACCCTGCTTTATCGTCCTTTTGGACACAAATAGGGAAGATAAGAAATGAAACTAGAGACCGAGAGCGTGAACTGACCAGGAAAGTACTTTCTGCAGTCATACTTCAAGAAGCAGAGGGCTGTTTTCCTATTAATTTCTATACATCTATAATTTTTTTTGTAGCCAGATCCCTGTTCTTCATTAGGAATTAAGATTTTAGGCAATTCATCTTAAGCTTTACTATGTTGATACTTTACTTAATACTCCATAAGAGCTACTTAGGAACTGCTCACAAAGAGCCCAAAGTGCTGAACTGTTCTCAAACCTCCACAGATCCCAAACCGGTCGAGCATCTGGAAGCTGTATCGGAATCAAACCTTCACCACTGCAGCCCCCTAGTTCCTGTGTCCAAACCGAGATAGATTTGAGCTGTTTTGATGACATGAAGAGGACTTGCACAATATTTGTAACAAGGTTTTAATGTTGTGGCTATAAACACACTGGATTACAATTCCCTGCTCAGACTCTGGTAGAAGTTTAAGTGTAGATTAAGGGTATAAATAGTATATTTTAAAAGTATTATGACAAAGCTTCAGGTGAATGCTTCAGGCCCTGACACTGACTCGATAAGAGAAAATACCATTGTGCTGTTCAGCTATGGTTTTATGTATGTGTGGGTAGATGATCACTGATCGACAGCTTCCTGACTCTGCTTGCTTGAAAATACCCAGTGGAACAGGGCAACATATAATTTTTATGTGTATTACCACGCATTGTCCCTAGCATACATCTGATCAGTTTGTGAAAAACAAACAAACAACAAATAAATAACAACTGTGAGCCATACAGGACACTTAAAGAACTAATTCAACCGAATAACATACCAGAAAATCGTTTTTTAAAAGGTTAATCTCTCTTTGATATTTTTAACAATACTTTACCTGAATAATGTTTTTGTTTCTCAAAGCAGAAAAAAGGTTTTGTCCTTAATGCCTGTCACAATAAAAGACTGTACACAGAAAGGTCTGGGCACAGATTGAAAGATACGCTGTGTCCTGGATCGGGTGGTATATCACGGAGGATTTGACACTATGTTTTCTTTCTGTGTGTATTTTGAGTGAACTGAACCTTTAATGGTAAGACTAAGGCTAAGGGGGCAAAAATGAGTGTAGGCTACTTGCGTGTGATATGAAAGGCTACAGATGCCATCACAAAACAGAATACTTACTCTGTGTGTGTGTGTGTGTGTGTGTGTGTGTGTGTGTGTGTGTGTGTGTGTGTGCGATAGAGAAAGAGAGAGATTGCTTGTTTATGCACACTGGGATAGACTGTGCCAGGTGAGTGTACCGTTTACCATCAAACCATTGAATTCAGCAGGCATCTAATAACAAAGCATTTATGGCCCACTTACGCATGCATAGATATAACTGTCAGTAGGAAACAACAGTCCCTTTTCTCCGTCTCCAGCTATTTCTTCTTCTCTTAAAACACACAGGCACCATCCGGATTGGACCCAGATACTCTAGAATTCTATCATCAGACTCGGGGATGAAATTAAAATCGCTCATTTTCTTTCTCCATACAAGGAGCAGATCAATTTCCGGAGACTGGGACGTGATATTTTCCTGCCATTGGGCTTTCTCGTCTTTGGCACAGCACCCTGACTGGCTGCCAGCGGGAGGCCCGGGCCTGACTGCACGCCTCGCCGGAGAACAGTTACTTCTGCCGCGGCGAGTTTATTTGCGCCTCGCTATGAGAATTGCCATCATTTACCCTTCCCCAGCGCCCCCCTCCAGAAAGAGAAAAGAAATAGACAAGCAGGGAGAAGCGAGGCAAGAATGAGAAAGGCGAAATTGATTCTTTTTGATACATGCTGCCTGGGGGACATTAGGCACACCTCGTTTGACCACCTATTTCAAGAAATGAACTGAATAAATTTTGCGTGAAGTAATGTATAGGCCTTTTAGAGGCCTCGCGCTGTTGTTTTCGCTTTATGAGGAACGACGGGCTCGCTGCAGCGCGCAGAGGTCATCTGAACAGACGCGAATCCTGGTTTTAGGGGAACGAAATTAATTGTAGCTGTACAAGAATGATAACCCACTTTACATGAAACAAGAAGTGAGATTGTGTTGAGCATGGCGAATGTGCTGAAAACACTGAAATCTGCAGGACTGGCGGGCCCCGGGGGTCAATGGCATATTAAACAATTCACGCAGATTGAGCAATGCCGCTAAATATTGGGCTACACTGCAAATATGGGGCCTTAAGCCATTGAACAAACTCTTGTTGCCCAGATGTTCGCTTTGCAGGACGTGGGGATGTGCATGGCGCCCGTGTTTGCACAAGTAGTGCGCATGAGGTCACCACTTCAGCAGAATGAGAACTCTGGCATAATATGTTCTGCGTATGATGCAAGCTTCTGACCGCCTACCCGTTGTTACGCCCCACTTAAAAACGAAGTGTTGTCAATACATTTTTCTCTGTATGCGCTGTCAGTGATAGGATCGCTGTGCCATTTAAAACCATGACTTGTACTTTAATCCCTCAGTGTTCCTTACCTGCATCACAAATTTCTTTTTAGTCGGTCCTTGTTTGTCCTGGCAGGGACACCGGCCCTTGTTTGTGCACACTTTGACCATCCGACCCGTCCTTTCCCTTTTACGTGTCCCCCAGCTGTTACGTCACAGAGCCAGTCAAGGCCTAATTAAACCCAGATTGGGAAAGCGTATAAATCCCAGCCCCTTTTCCCCAGTCTGTCCAAACAGCAACATGCAGACACCCCGAAGTGGATTTTAGTCGAAGGGAATACATTAAGAAGAAAACTGCAAGTCGATCCGTAACCACTGTGAAACGCTCAACAGCTGCTACAGAAAAAGTTCTGACACATAGCAAAATGGCTGGACTCAAGGTAAGACAATTCCTCGAAGCAAAACTGTTGCTAAATGTGTAAATATTCAATTATTATCGCTTATGAGCTGCGTCTGTGTCGACTATCAGACTGTGCATGCATGTGGAGTTAGGGTGCAGAACTATATCATCATTGTAATACAGAAGAAAAGTTTGTATTTTTTATTTATTTGTTTTGCACCAGAATGTGTGAAATTCATGCGCCTTAAAGCCACCACAGCTCCTGTGGCCGCAGACTGAAGGGAGGCGTTTCCTCCAACCAATCAGAGCGCTGCATTTTGCAGCTGCCCAGATGTGGTTTGAAGTGCCTAAATTTTTTTTTAATTTCATTGGGAACGCTTCAATTTAATTGCAAAAACATGATTTTAAACCCCAGTTTTCCAATTTATTGCCATTGCTGCAGAATTATGGTGATGGGCTGCATTAAGTAGGCATTTGCTTAGATTACTTTTTTTTTTAATATAGAACCTTTAATATTTGACTGAAGGTTTCAAAGTCATGACACCTACTCAAATGCAAAGCTTTGTCTATAGTGGAATAGTTAACAAACTATCCAAGGACTGCTGGGATCATTGCCAAGTCTAGCTTTGCTGCTCTAGCTCTAATAAACTTTTAAGAGGACAGAAAACTGACTTTGTAAAGCATTCCTTCAACTTGGGACACTCTGGAGCTTCCAACAAGCACTTTGGCACATGATCACGCACACATGGAAACCATCTGTGTCTGTGAGTGTGCTTTCTTGCAAACTCACAATGACTCAGCAAGATGCGTGTACACTGTGACAAGTTTGATCCTCCTGTGGCAGAAGAGACGCGATCAGTAGAGGTGCAGGCGAGATGCAGAACAACACTCTTATCCTAGATGGAACATTGATCAAAACATGCTGCAGAGGATGTAAGTGTAATTAGGCTGTTTCTGTGGCACAATAACACAAAATAATGGATGACTGCAAGGGGGGAAATTTGGCATAACTGCAGTTTGTTTTATCATAGATCTAATGTGAATCAATATGACAACAATTAACAAAAAGACAAGCCTTAATGACAAGCCTTCAAGTTTAATTATAACCAGCATGAACACATTTATCCTGCATTACAATGAAGCTGCATGATGTATTTTTTTATTTTTCACTTCAACTTGTCTCCATTTGTGTGTTGGATGTGTGTTTGTCTCTTTCAGTACATGAGCGGTTTCGGGAACGAGTTCTCATCTGAAGACCCTCGCTGTCCTGGATCCTTACCCGAGGGACAGGTAAAAACCCACACTGGGCTCCTTTTGTTATTTATTCATCATTATTTTCTAATTGTTGAAAATGAGGGTAATTGAACACCATATATAGTGTACATATACACACATTACAGCATTTTTTTATGTTCCATGTGCTTGCAGAATAATCCCCAGGTCAGCCCATATGGCCTTTATGCCGAGCAGCTCTCCGGCTCTGCCTTCACCTGCCCGCGTCCAGCCAATAAGAGGAGGTGTCCTTTTCTGTTTGAAACCTAAATCAGACTTTATAGTGACTCCAAATGGATCCCAGACAATATGGATAACTAAACATTTCCCTTCCTCTTCTTTCTCTAGCTGGTTGTACCGCATCCTTCCATCTGTTAAACACAAGCCATTCACCTCGGTTCCCTGTGGAGATCTAACAGAGAACTGGAACGAAGTGGAGCCTGATCCTAACCAGGTATATCAACACAAGGAGTCCCTGCTCATTTTGGGCTTAGTTACAAATCTTTCATCGCTTTTACATCTGTGTGGTTAATGTTCAGCCGAAGCCATAACAAAGTTTAGCATAGCATAACCAAATCTATGCACTGTCTTCTCTAAACCTCACATTAATGCGGTTTAATTGTGGTAAATGACACTGTTTGGGGGCCAGCAGATTCCCTTCATTTTCAGTATTGTGCCTTTAGCTTCACATTTACCACACAGCCTCCAAAGCTATACCGATGTTTTCGACAAGGAAACAATTTCAAGCTCTTCACACTGTTAAAAGTAACAGTGTTGTTTCAATCCATTAAAAATGCTGGCGACATAAGAGCACATAAAGCCACAAATTTCAAATCTGTGATTGGTGGCGACATGCTGTACGTGACACCATCATCATCAAGTTTGTCTGTTTCAGACAAGTTTACGAAAAGCAATGATGAAGCAGTGTGTGAATGTGAGAGTGAATGAATAGTGGAATTGTAAAGCGCTTTGAGGTTCTCGAAAAGCGCTATATAAATGCAATCCATTATTATTATTATTATTATTAATAAACAGTAGATATATTTATATATAGTAACTTATTTAGAAAATATTTTCCATAGATTGATTTCTTTAAATACACTGAAGGTGCACAATATAGGTACACTACAACGAACCGCTTCAAGTAAAAGTTAGTATTTTGCAAAGCAATCTACTGCTACTCATAAATAGAGGTAAATACTGTAAATACTAATAGCTGGGAAATAAATATAAACAGCAAGCTAGTAAGTAACAAAAACAAACATATTTAAAGAAGCTGTAAAGCAGGCCCACGGTGAAATAATGGTGGTTCTTATAATTTTACAGTAAAAATTTGTTACAGTGCAGATTCTGACTCTGAGGTTTCTTTCACAGCTTCGATGGCTGCCATTCACCATCCCCAAAGCTACAGAGAAGAAAGTGGACTTTGTGGCTGTAAGTCAAGCTAATTATTTCTCTTATTTTGAATTTTTATGAAAATTTCCATCTGATTTTATTTGCGTCCTTCTCCACATTTCAGGGTTTGCATACTGTCTGCGGTGCTGGAGATGCCAAATCTCGTAATGGCATTGGCGTCCACGTGTACACCTGTAACACCTCCATGGTCGACAGGTGAGAATGTATAAATTATGTGACGAAAGGATATATTTTTATTGATGAAAAACATTTCCAGCCTTCCTTTGATCTTATTTTATTCTTGTTCCAGGTGCTTCAACAACTCAGACGGAGACTTTCTGATTGGTGAGGAAAGGAGCGCTGTTGTTGTTTTCGCTGTCATCTATCATAAGAACAATGATAGCTCAAACATCAGCCTGCCTTCTTGTTCAAATTTTCTTTTCTCTGTGTCTCTCTTTGTCTGTTTGTGTGCGCAGTCCCTCAGCAGGGAGAGATCTTGATCACCACAGAGTTTGGGAAGATGATGGTCGAGCCGAACGAGATCTGTGTCATCCAGGTGGGCTGTATGTTTTCCATTTCCCCTGTTTTCAAAGAAATCTGCCGTTGTGTCTGCCCCAACATCCCACTTACCATATTTAGAAAGGCATTGTTTGGTGCTTTTTGAAAGTGACCTCAAAAATAAGCGACGGTGGAAAAGAGGTTTTAAGCTACCGAAAGCCTGACCACCTGGACAGCAGCACGTGTGCTTTTCAAAGTCCGCTCAGAACTGAAACAGCACACAGTTGATACTTAATAGGACAAAATTTCCTCTCACTGCCACTTTTCACATTTTTTTTTTTTTTTAGCAAGGGATGCGCTTCAGTGTGGATGTGTTTGGGGAAACCAGAGGCTACATACTCGAGGTGTATGGTGCCCATTTTGAACTGCCTGACCTTGGCCCAATAGGTTTGTATGATATTTGTGAGTCTATATAAGTGCAGCATACGTCTTTGTCTTCACTTTTCCTTGAAACGTGCTCACCAAGCTCCTTTACATCTATGTCTTGGAACAGAATGTCCATGTCTAAAACTGTTCACACTTTTCTCTGCGTAACTCACTCTGTGCTCAGAGGATAAATCTTGCTTAGAAATTTTATTAAGGAGATTAACATCTGCTGTTTTGTTTATAGAGTACATATAAAAAGCAACAACAACACAAAATCCTTCTTTGAGCAGCATATTGCTGTTAGATATTTAGGAAACTAGTGACTAGCTTGTGATTTCTGTGTCTTCCTACATATAACAAAAATATTTCTTGCACCCACCAAAGATGTTTTGGCTTTCCGACAAAGCATCATGGCTCTAAAAATAATGTTTTATCATTAAATGTATTCGCACCTACAATTGTTTTAATCTTTATTTTACCTTTATTCACTAGCTGGGCCCACGTCCTCACTTTAGGTTGGACCGCGTTTTAGTAGGTAAAGCTGAATGCTTTGACATGGCTTGAGGGAAGGCCTCGAAGGGGAGTGGTGATGGCTCCCTGCCCTGGCAGACCCCCATGCACCAAATAGAAATGAACAAGTTAAAGAATTGAAAACAAGGAGGCAGGGAGGGTGGGGGAGGTAAACGAGAATGAACAGCTTGCAGAACTGGGTGAACCTATATAGACGACAGCGTGTTTGGAGGCGTGGTCCTGCTCCTGAAATTCCAATACATAATCTCCAAATAGTTAAAATATCAAAAAAATGCACAGCTAAATTGCTAAATAAGCTAACACCTTAACTACATGAAACCACCTGTGATTACATGATCTGTCACCCCCAATTGTTTCCTATTTTTTTTTATTGTTATCATTGTCATCATGGTTATGCCTACACTGCCTTTACTTTGACACTTTGCGTGTGTTTTGCAGGAGCCAATGGTCTGGCTAACCCGAGAGACTTCCTGTGTCCGGTTGCATGGTATGAAGATCGCAAAGTGCCCACTGGTTACACCGTCATCAATAAATACCAGGGGAAGCTGTTTGCATGCCAACAGGTGGCTATTGTTGCACACAACTTTATCTGTATCACTGTACTTCCACGTGTACCTGTGGTCTGACAGGGACACACACACACACATACACACATGGCTTACTTGCCCTATTACCCTATTTAGTTTTGTGTCTGCTTCAGTGAACGCCATCGAACTGCCGCAGTGACTAACAGGAAACTGTCCAAGTGAAGCATATGATCCATTAGCTGCTCCTGCCGACTGAATTGCCATCCCTGATGATTTAATATCGAAGCATTAGCTGTTATCCATTCAGCAGGTTTCCGCCTCGACTCCCTTATGAGTCTTAATCACTCATAATTAGTTAAGGCATTCTGGAGCTGCAGACAGTGTACCTGTGAAGCTTTTGCTTTGTAGGAAAAAACCTTTTTCAAGTTAAGCATTAATTTCAACATATTTCAGCCGGGGAATGATCCTCCCCCTCCCGAAATGTCCTGTTGGGCGCATAATTGGATCGACACATAATGTCTGACAGGAGGTTTTTTACTGAGGCAGGGAGGAGGTGGGAGGAGAGGTTTGTCAGGGGTGGGGGTTGGGGGGGTTGTAACCGTGGAAACCATGTCAAACCACACTGTTATTATTCATCATAGGAAGTACACTAGGGCAAGATACTGTCTTTTCTTTTTTTGAAGCAAAACAGACCTCTTCCCATCTTCCTCTCTGCTTCTGCTTGAGTATCTGCCACCAGTTATATGCTCTTCCCAGAGAGTGGACCAGAGAGGTTGCAGGGGTAAGAAAATAAGATGGGGCGGTGGAGGCCTCGTATAAGGGAAGATGCTGCCGCTCCTGCCTGGTCCTGCTGTTTTGTTCCCCCGCAGAGTGCCGAAATTGCTCAAATTAACTTATTATTTGCTTGACTGGACCAATATGTTTGTGTTTTGTGTGCGTGTGCGCGCAAGTGCTCGCTCGCCTCCATTTTCCTCCCTTCATTTTAATCGAATGTAGTGGAGTTATCACAGATGAATGTCCAAGAAATTACCTGCACTGGATTTCCCGAAGGCCTCTTTGTACATCGACTACTGTCAGTTGAGTGTGTGTTAAGTTGTTTTCGGCGTTCATTAGTCACGAATGTTTGCGTGTGTGAATGCATCTGTGTATGTATATGTATTTGCCAGTATTCGTCGTTGATGTGTATTAGCTGTTCGTGTGTGGAAAAGCTTGTGTGTAAAGGAGCAGGGAGGTCAGTATGGAGGCAGCTTGAGTTGTAATGAACTATATTGATTTTAGAGTTGCTGTTGAATGTCTTTTTTCGCAGTGACATTATCAGAACAGAGAAACTATATAAAATTGCTGTGGTTTTAACAATCAAGATAAAGAAATATCTCTGCACCCAATGCTCCCCTCTCCCCATAACTGCGCTGCTGCGAGCGTCAAAATGCTCAAAGTTTGGGAAAGTTTGATTGTGAAGCCAATTACCCCATAATACCTGGAGCCTCGTATCACAAAGAAAAGGGGGGAATGAAAGAGAAGAAAGGATGAAAGAAGCACACCCTCTTTCACAATCAACCCTTTTCATTATGACCAGTTTTTTTTCTCTTTATGTGAAGAAGTACTCTCTCTGGGAATTTAAGATTACAAAGACATTATTCATTGTTCCGTTTTCCCTGTGAAAAGCTCAATTTAAAGCCTTTTGTGTTTGTTGCTTGGGTAGACTCCTCTTATTTGTTTTGTTCTGTGCTCTGCACGTAGGATTTCTCGCCATTCAATGTGGTCGCCTGGCACGGTAACTACACGCCTTACAAATACAACCTGAAGAACTTCATGGTTATCAACTGTGTGGCCTTCGACCATGCGGTGAGAGTTGAGTTTAGGGACACGCCAATAGCACTTTTGAATGCAAAAAGCCGTGCTCCTCACCCGCATGTTTATGATCTCTCTATATAGGATCCATCTATCTTTACTGTGCTTACTGCCAAATCCACTAGACCAGGGGTTGCCATTGCTGACTTTGTCATCTTCCCCCCACGGTGGGGTGTGGCTGACCACACCTTCCGTCCACCATACTATCACCGTAAGACACACGCACACACACATCCATTTACCCAGCCTGTGTCAAGGCAGTAGGTGAGAACAAACCACCTGCTGTATGACTCACTTCAATGGAGACCCCACAATAGTCTCCTTTTGTCCGATTTCATTGCAGACCTATAAGGCCATCTAGCGGAAATCAGTGTTACACCTGGCACATTCAACAGCAAACTAGACACATGACGCTGCTGTGTTACAGCTCCTCCTGCTTGTCACTGTAGGTAACTGCATGAGTGAATTCATGGGTCTGATCAAAGGCCATTATGAGGCCAAAGAGGAGGGTTTCCAGCCAGGAGGGGCCAGTCTCCACAGCATAATGACCCCGCATGGCCCGGACGTGGACTGCTTTGAGAAGAACAGCACTGCTGAACTCAAACCTGAGAGGGTGGCTGAGGGAACCATGGTAAACAAACAAAATATATATATGGTTAACACATGACCAAGTCGGTATCGTTTATCACAGCGTGCTTTTTCCTATCACCAGGCTTTTATGTTTGAGTCGTCCTTCAGCATGGCGGTGACAAAGTGGGGTCTTCATACATGCCAGAAGCTTGACAAGAACTACTACCAATGTTGGGAACCTCTACGCAGCCACTTTAACCCCAACTGGAAGCCCGGCAAACAGTAGAAACCCAGTGATTCAGAATGCATTAAGAGCAAACGAATCAAAAATAAATATATCAAAATAAAAATTTCACTTCTCGCAATCCAATGATTTATTTGTGTTCCCCGAGTAGATCTGTTGACAGAATAAACAGGAAGAATAAAGTAATTTCCTTCTCACAGAAGTATAAAACCAAATTGTCGTCACATGTGTATTTTTATTTTTAAGAAACATAACTGCAAAATTTAAGGAACAATAAGAGGCAACCTTAGACCAGCATTCTGTTTTACTGAGAGGTGTTTGGTAGGACCACTAATGACCCTGTCTTTACCCCTCATGCCACTGTTGTACCAATATTGCCATTATCCTTTAATATCTAAATGACACTGCAGTGCTTCTTTATTTGACTATATATATATAGTCTTGCTTTATGTGAAACGGGGATCATTGATATCAGCATGTCTTGCATTTTCTTTTCCTGTGCCAATCTGAACTTATGTGAGAGGGGGGAATTGAGTCCTTCAGTCTGCAAGTAGATCCTCCTTGCCTCTGTGTATAACTGCAGACATGCAAATGGTACTTTCACACATGAAAGCCACGTAACTCTGGTTTGACAATATAATTTTATTCGGTTAATAATAATTACACACATGGACATCATCTCTAGAACACACAGGACGAGGGTCTTTCTACACCCGGGCTCAAGATGACAAACTGAACTTGCGCTCGAGGGTACCGGCCTTAATTTGCTCCTCCTTCCTATCCTGTAAAACAGATGACAAACAGATGATAGGTTAGTGCGGTTTCCATAGAAACAAAGTCATATCGCCCTCACCCTCATCACCTTCCAGACGTTTTCTCAAACTCCATGTTTTATGAGTGAGCTTTTTATGATTTTCAAGCAGCTTTTCCCCCCCCTTCCCAGCACCAAAAAAGGGGGGTTGGGACAAATATGATAGCCCAGCAGTGTGACAATTGGACCAAATTCTCCCTGGAATCTCAATTGGCGAGGACTTTGACGGTGAATCTCCATGACAATGGGGTAGAAAATGAAAGCAGGCAGCATTTTGGATGAAGCATTCATTTCTAACATGAGCGGGTCTGTGTCAAAAGAAAGAAAACCAGATCAACGGTGCACCTACATGGGAATAATGAGTCCCAATCTTCAACTAAATAGCTTTTCAGGTTTCTATGACAGCATTTGTCACCAAATCACATTTTATGAATACCCAGATCAAATACTCTAAATGGTCAAATTATTACAGTGGCTGAAAAATGACCACTATTGTAACAGTGTAAAGTAACCAGGTAATCAATACTGAATTGTTTTGTTTCCTGCAATAAATGCATTGATATTTTTTTAACCTCCAACAATACTTGGCAATTTACTCCTAGTTTCTAGTCTCACACGTGCCTTTAGACAGCCTAAAGAGGGCCAGTGGGGCTTAAATTGTGGTTCAAGAGCTCGCTAAAAACTTTTGTGATGAGAAAACACAGCTGAGCCGATTAAACTACCCATTAAGATCAAGCAGACAGCGAGTGAGAAGGCTACAGTGTTTCTTGTCTCATACCCTGTCTGTCTTGAAGATGTAGTAGAGGGCAAAGAGAGGTACAACTCCAAACATTGCACCCAGCAGAGAGGTCTTGTTTGTAGGCCTGAAGTGTGCGTAGGGATTGCCTCGTGCGTACACCCAGCGTGTCAAGGCAGGGTCTTCCTGTACAGACAGAAGTAAGCAATGACATTTATCACCATATGTAAATGTAGAATTCACAGCGGAAAAATAGACTCCAATATTTACAACAAATCAACCAAAATTTAAAAGTCTCATAGTGACGTTAAAATTATTAATATCTGTTATACTTAAACCTTTTATATTAGGTGGGGAAAACTCAGGAAACAGCAGAAAAGAGGGGGGGGGAGGGGGGGGGGGGGGGCATTTTTCAAGGACAGGACATTTTTCCAGAAAAATCCTGGTGTACATATTTTACATTACACAGTTTACATTTACTTTACTGGTACATTTAATTTACTGGTATTGTGCTTGCTGGTCAATTTCATGAACTTAAGAGAACAAAGCCATTATAAAATGTAACAGTAAAAGTAACATAGCAAAATGTCTGCCTTTAAAACAATCACAGCACACAGTATAGATGGAAAAATGAGGTAATCCAACTACACCACTGAGTACCATAAAGACGTTATGGAAGAACTGAAGTATATCCAGCCAGATGACAAACTAAGTCAGCATGAAGAGCTGCTACAGCTACTTTGGTTGGACATCTGCTATGACTTTAAGTTTCAGTGCAGAACCTGCACTGTAGCGATTCAAGTCATTAGATATTATACATGATATTCGGTTATACTGTGTTTTGATGATTGTGGTTGACCTGTATAACAGGCCAGCATGCTGTATAACATGCTGGCCCACCATCTCTCATAAGTGTCGAGCTGGGTTGGGGTCCGGTGACAGCAAAGGCCATGGCATATGATTCAAACTATTTTATATAACGATGAAATCATTCAATGAACCGGGTGCCTAACGGATGGGGGCTACTCCAAGCTGTAAAGACATGTTTCATTACAGGATACAATGACCCCTCACACTAAAGACTGAAGTGGACCCAAACCATGTCAGCGAAATGCTCCCTAGGAGCATAACAGAATCACGAGACCCCCTAATTTAAAACACTGCAGGGGTCGGGTTTTTTCTGTCACCAGTCAGTTTTCAGAGCACACCAGGAAGAAAGCAATCTGTACTGCAGCGCACGGTTCCCAAGACGTAAACGATCTTCGTAATGCAGTAGTGACTAGCATGGAGTGGAAGGTCTCGTTTATAATCTTATCTAAAATTTAGACTAGATAAATACATAGTCACCGCTGTGCCCCGCTAATGCTACCCGTTAGCATTCTGGCCAATAACTTGAGCCCTTTTCAAGGGTGACATTGCTAACTAGCAAGTAGCCACTCACAATGAGCTCTTTTCTGTGCGGGTTATTGAGTTGCAGCTGATATTGGCGCTTCAGATTTGCTCGCAGTGCACCCCTGGCTTCTTCGGCACGCCTCTGCTCCGGCGAAAGGTTGAAATATTCGTTTGGATCCAATGTTTTTGGCCGAGTGGCCAAGGGCGCCTCTCGGTAGTCCGCCATGATTGTTTAATGACTGCTGGAACGGTGGAAACGCGAGCTTGTGAAATCTCGCGTTGAGTGAGCGCCGTATTACCATAGCAACGTCAAACTCTGGCTGAACGAAGCAATGGATGCAGCGCAGGAAAGTGAAGAGAAAGTGGCTGACGACACATCGCCTGACAGTAATGATGACTTTAAATGTGAAGACATTTCTGCAGAAGACGAATTGAGTTTAAAAGAAGGTGAAGAAGACTTGGAAGCGACGGTGAAAGCCATCCAAGACCGGGCAAAAGCCAGTGCAAGGCCCAGTTCAACCAACAGAACATCCAAACCACCAGCCGTAGTTGACTTTTTACGGAACTTTCTCTTCCAAATGGGCATGACAGAAACCCTCGATTGTTTTCAAACCGAGTGGAACGAGGTGGTGCAGAAAGGACTGCTGGAGGAAGAGGGTCTCATGGTGACCCCATTCGTTCACATTGAAAACCAGCGTCTGGAAAATGAGCTGAAAACCGCTCTGAAGGAGATGGAGGAGTACAGGCGTACAGTCTCTGCAGCAGCCGGGACTCTGGTGAGGGTGCAAAAAAACAGAGACTTTCACCGGATGCAACATAAGCGTGTTGTCCAGGAGAAAAACCTACTCATCGAGGAGATGAGGAAAGTCAAGATGCAGTGCAACAGCTACGAACCTGCGGTGAAGCGGATGAACGAGAAATATGAGGTCGTTTTAAAGCAGGTCATGCTGGCGGCTTTGGAGAGGGACAAAGCCTTCAGGGAGGTGAACTCTTCGTCAATTCAACACGACACCCTCTGTGGAGGGGAGGAACGGGGAGGAGAGGCGGGCGTAGAGAAATACCCTTCAGTGACACAGCCGAGACCTCCGGCCCCTGCGCACTCAAAAAAATAAATTGGGTTGTTGTTACATTTACAAGAGTCTAAATATTAATTTGAACAAAATAATTTAATGTTTCTATGGTGAACGTAATTAAATAATGTATGATCTGCATGGAATTCAACAAATTAATTTATTCTTGGTGAGATGACACAATGATACAATCTAGTAAGAGTGGCTAGTTGCCTGGACTCGCGAATTGCACGAGATCACACGAGATTCCAAACCACAGGAAAATCACTGGGGTTATAAGAGGCAGAAAAGCATACACACACTATGCTATATGCACTGTTACCTCACAACAAGAATGTCCTGAGTTTAAATCCAAAGACACGCAGCTAGTGGGGTTAGATTAATTGGTGATTCTACCCATATGTACGGTATGAATGCTTGTCTGTCTCTCTGTGTTAGCCCTGTGATGGACTGGTGACCACCTATCCAGGGATGACCCTGCCACTGACTGGCCCCTAATTTAAGTTATTTAAATTAAGTTGGACTCAGTTGCACTAAATGCGTACATTAAGTAGGAATAACAGAATCTCATAATGTTAAAATAACATTTAATAGCGTGGAAATCCTTTCCATTGTTCTTTTCATGTTCATTCAAACAGTTTTTTTAAAAAAAATTTTTGTTCTTTTTTATTAAAAAAAAAAAAATCATTGTTGTCTGAAGGTGCTGACATGACCAACAAATTAAAAACACACAATACAAGCCCAACATTTAGTTTATAAATGAGGGCTGGGGATTAATGTTTGGTCAAGCACGTCAGCAGATTAGAGACCTGACGAGAGAAAACAAGAAAAAGTGTGCTCAATTAAAACAAGTGTCCGATGAAAGGGGACGAGTTTAAAGCTACTGGTATGGACATACATCATAGTCTCAGAGAAACTGAGATAAAGAATTACAAGCTTTAACTAAAACTTTAACTAAAACAGGAAAAAAATTAAGAGTTTCTTCAAGAGAAGAAGCAACTGGAGTGCAAACTCCAATACATGGACAAAAACCACCAAGTGCTTCAAATAATGCTTGATGAAGCACTGCATAAAAATGCAAAAAAAAGTGCAACAGGAAGAAATACAGAAAGAAAGGCAACCTGTTCTCCAAGACTAAGAGAAAAAAATCTAGAACTGCAAGAATGTTATAACAAAA